CAAGTTGCAAGACTATTCTGATTTTTTATCAAACTCTCTTGCGCAGAAGATCCTCATTAACAGTTGCACCTCTAATATTTTTAGATCAATTTGTACTTTCTAATGGACAAGTCTTGGATTGGCATGCCAAGAACCTCAACGGAATATTTGCTTGGTTTCAATCAATTTCTAGATTTTGCTTTTACGAATGGAGCTATAAGAGATAAAATAAAATGTTCTTGTTCGAAATGTTGCTTTGAAAAATGGCAGGCAAGAGGTATAGTGCTTGATCACTTGACTTGCAAGTCATTTCCTCAAAATTATGTCACTTGGGTTCTTCAAGGGGAAATAAATGTGTTGTAGAATTCTGGGAATATAAAGGTCACTCAAGATGCACTACCTCCTGAAAATCCTATAGAATTGCTGATTAATGAAGCATTTCGACGCATTGAGCATGAGGGCATTGATGTAGGTCCATTACAAATAGTGGAAGAAGAAGAAATATTAAATAGTATTCATGTTTCAAATAATAAAGACTTTTTGAGTTGCTTAGAGATGGAGGTCAAGAACTATATGAAGGATCCAAGTACTCAAAGCTAGAATTTTTGTTAAAATTATATCACATAAAGTACTTGTCAGGGATAAGTGACAAGGAGATGACTATGATTCTAGATCTTCTAAGAGATGCATTTAACTTTGCAAGATTTCTGATTCTTTTTATGAAGCCAATAATACCATCAACAAGCTTTGTCTTGATTATGCCAAGATAGATGCTTGTCCAAATAACTGCATGTTATATTGGGAAGATAATGCTAATGAGAAAATATGAAAGTATTGTCACACTTCTAGATGGAATCTTAATAAGAAGAGCAATAAGAATCATGTGTCTACTATTGGTAAAAGGAAAGAGATGAAGAAGAAGAAAGAAAAGAAACCAGCCAAAATTTTGCGTTACTTTCCATTAAAATCAAGACTACAAAGATTGTTCATGTCCTCTAAGACTGCTGAGCATATGAGATGGCATGTGGAAGATAATAACATAGATGGAATCATAAGACATCCTAGATATGGTGAGGCATGGAAGAAGTTTGATACAATTTTTCCTGAATTTTCTTCTGAACCACGAAATGTTCGATTAAGACTAGCTAGTGATGGTTTCAATCTTTTTGGGATGATGAATACTAACTATAGAATTTGGCCAGTGGTTTTGGTTTCATATAATCTTCCACCTTGGTTGTGTATGAAACAACCAAATTTTATCCTATCAATAATCATTCCAGGTCCGCGTACAACAGGGAATTGTAACCAGTTGTTGTCGGAGGCTTATTGTTCAGAGTACCCTTCCTAGAAGGTGACTATAAAAATAAGTGCTTTATAGGTGTATTAATTTTGTTTGTTAATGATAATATTCACATTGTTACCAAAAAAAATATAGATGTATACCTACAATCCATTATTGAAGAGCTAAACGAGTTATGGTGTGAATGTGTGGAAACTTTTGATTCATCAAAGAATAAAATATTTAGAATGCGAGCAGCCCATATATGGACAGTTAGTGACTTTCCTGGACTTGATATCTTATCTGGTTGGAATACACATACTGGTTTTGCATGTGTCTCTTGTAATCTTGATAAAGAACCTTGTCGACTTCATCACAGTAGGAAGTGATGCTTTACTGATCATCGTCGGTTTTTGTCAAGAAATCATAAATTTAGATTGATGAGGCATCGTTTTTATGGTAATGTGGAGGAGAGAATCCCGCCAAGAAAGTTATCTGGTTCTGATATTTTGCAACAAGTGAAAGAAATTAATGTTACATTTGGAAGACATGCGGCGTTGAATGATATAAGGAAAAGAAATAGACAAAGGAATGTTCAATCAAGTTTTGGATGCTCACAATGAAAGCGAAGAGAATTACGCTCAAATTATGAATGCTCAAGCTCAAATGATGAATGCTTTCAAGGCCTATATGATAATGAAAGTAGGGAGAATACATGAAGAATTTGCTGGGAGCTTTGTTCCTCCTCTTGCTACAATGGTAAAAAAAATTCATATCGAAAGAGTTGAAAAAAATAGTTCGTCTACCAATGTTGTTGTTGCATCTGTTGTTCCTCTTCTTGCTGCAGTTGTGCTATTTTATGAACCAAACAATAAAACTCACTGTAAAAAAAGGTTTTAAAATGTAGGATATATGTTAAATGAGGGTTCTTTTTTACATACCATGTTGTTTTTGTTTCTGTTGCATCTATTGTTCTTCTTCTTGCTACTGTTGTTTTAGTGTATGAACGAATCTAACATCAAGAATTTACTGTAAAAATAGCATAAAAATAGGATAATAAGTGTAAAAATGGATCTTTCTTATTTACAATGTTGTTTTTGTTGTTGTTGCATCTTATGTTTTTCTTCTTAGTGCTGATGTGCTGTTTTTATGAACAAAACAGCAAAAAATTACTCTAAAAAATGATAGAATGATGTGGTTAAAATTGGATCTTTTTTATACACCCATATCGTTTTTGTTGTTGCTGCATCTTATGTTTCTTTTTTTGCTGTTGTTTCGCTATTTTATACACCAAACAAGCATAAAAATATTGTATATGCAGTAAAAATATATATAAGTGCACTTGAATCTCACTTTCTCACCAATATTCTCCATTTTATTTCATCCTTCTTGTTTTGGTTTTTGCTCTCTGCTTAACGTTCTTGCTTAAACATCAATGATAGTAAGAATTATTATTAATCAATGGACTGTAAATTCATTATAATCTTGTATTAATTATATTTTTTTTGTAGGCAAATGATACAGCTGGAAGATCCATTTCACCCATGGGCTTTAGAAGATCATCTGATGGTACTAATTCTAGTACAACAATTGAAGTTCCTTACAAGTGTATTAGATAATTAAGTATGATATTGGATTGAATCGTTGAAGTAAATATTCCGTGTGTAATGGCTGGAGTAGATGTTTTGCACTTAATGGCTGGAATAGATGTTTTCCGCTTAATAGGTGAAGTAGATATGGTGTTTCAAGCTAGTTTTGAGACTAAAGATAATACTTTATGCTAATGTTCTTTGTGATTTAATATTATTTTGATGTTATTAATTTTGATATGCAATTTCAATATTACGTTCATGCTTCATAATATTAATATATTTAAAATATTCTATAGAAAATTTTGGAAGCCAGAATTACCCCAAAAAATCATATTATTTTGAAAAAAAATAACTGGTGTTATTATAATTTTCTCTAATTAAGTAAAGAGAATATGCTATGCAAATTGCAAAGGTTTAAACCCCTGCAAATTGCTTAATTTATGGGTGTTCCAACCGCTGCAACGTTTTCCTTAAAGAAGTTTTAAGTTGATAAAATATTGAAAATGCGGGGGTTAAATTGCCGCTAAATCAGCCGCGGCTAATGATACCAGCGGTCAATAAAAAACCCCCCAAATTGATTGGCGCGACCGATATTGCAGGAGTTTTGAAAACTACCGCAACAACAATTTGTGGGGTTTGGTGACCCTCGCAATTTGCAAATTTAACCCCTAAATAGCGAGTCCGAAACCTAAATAATGATATTTTGGACTCAAAATACTTTTATACAGTTAAAAAAAAATTACATTTCTAACTAAAACGCAGTATTAATACTGCGTTTTAGTTTAACGGAAAGTTAGCCGTTAAAGGAAAAGGTAGTATAATTCTGCGTTTTAATTGTAAAACGTTGTATTATAATACGTTTTACTTCAAAGTCAAAGTGCCATCATTCAGAACTTTAGTTGATTTTAGCGAGAAGACTTCTAAGGATGCATCAAAAGTGGATTCTGTTTCTGGAAACTATTTGATTCATTAAATGCCAGCTTTCTCTTTTTCTTAATTATTTTTCTCCAACTTCTTTTGGAATTAGATTATGTTTTTTGTTAAAACTTTGCCAAGCCTTCCATGTAATGAGTAAGAAGGTCCATAGGCAAAAGCCTATGCAATTCAGGAATATAGAAGTATATTCTCCTTTACTTGCATTCAGTTGTTATAAGACTGGTTTTCCACCTTCATCTCAACTATAGACACAGCAGAAGCTCAAACCACCAGATGCAAACCAAATTAGTCAAATGACAAATGAAATTTGATGGTTAAAAACAACAAATATAGGGGGGGGGGGGGGGGGGGTGAAGCAGGGGAAATTTGGAGACATAGCCAACTTGTCGATGTGGAAAATCTCTGATTTAAGTTAAGTTCTGAATGATGGCACTTTGAGTTTGAAGTAAAACGTATTATAATACAACATTTTACTAAAACATTGTATTATAATGTGTTTTACATTAAAAAAATAATTTATTCATTAAAACGCAATATTATACTACGTTTTCCTTTAACGGCTAATTTTCTGTTAAACTAAAACGCAGTATAATACTGCGTTTTAATTAGAAATATAATTTTTTTTTAACTGTATAAAGGTATTTTGAGTCCAAAATACCATTATTTAGGTTTCGGACTCCGCAAATAGCCCTTTTTGAGTAGTGTTTTTTCTTATAAATTTAGACCAATTCCTTCAAAAAAAATTTTGTATCCCATTTTCAAATGAACTAAGGTTGTTTAAGGAAGATTTTTTAGTAGCTTGAAAGTTGCTTTATTAACCTTGGACCATATTCACATGCGCGTGCTCAAGAAAATATAAGGACATTAGTTTACAATATATAAGGTCAAGAAAAGCATGCTATTGAAGATTGGAGCAATTGTAGTTATTGCTAGCTAGGTAGGGTGACCACCCCCAAAAATGGCATCTAATATAGCAATGAACTGTATGGTAACTTACATTTGATAAGAAACCTAATTTTCAACTTACAGACAAAAATATCAAATTGCAAGCTAATTCTCAACACAGACAAAAACAAGCAAATTGCCTCTTCTGACTTCAATTAATTAAGTTCATTCATTCATACATGCAAAGGCATATAAGCCACTTCCACAAGTGGATTAGGGTTTTGAAATTTCAGCCACTAAATTTACTATCACTTCTCCTATAAATTGGTCATACAAACTCATTAGTTGAGCAACACAATTTCTTACAACAACAGCTTAATTAGTTATCACTTGTCAAAAATATTGCCATGGCTTTAGCAAATATTTTCTTGGTTTCTCTTATGGTTGCATTAATTGCAACCCCTGTTGCAGTAGCCCAACTAGGAGGACTTCTCAATGGCCTTCTTGGTTCAATACGTATAGATGGGGTTCTATTTTGCAGCCTTAACGGTATCATCAATGGAACTACCACCCCAGTTTTCCCTAGTAAGTAATTCATTATTTTGTACGTAAATAAGTATCACAGAGTAGATGCTAGTGTATATATATATATNAGTACAGTTCGTGGATTTGTAGGTTAATTTAATTTACATAGGGAGGTTTCAAGATTTTAAGTCTAGAGAAATAACATTGCATCCATTATTCCTTTCGTAAAAATGGGTGCGGATGGTAATAAAGATATAACAACAATATGCCTCAGCCCTAACAAAGTTGGGGACGGTGATTTGAATCCTCACTTTTTCTTTAAGCTCAACTTATATTATCATCATGCCAAAATGAAATATTAGCAATAGTAATTCTAAAATATTTTCAGGTAACTTGAGCCGAATGAATCCTACACTCGCTGTCAAGAAACACCATGATTATACAATTATAAGCATTTATTGCATTCATAAGCTGCATATTGAATTAACTGATCATCTTATCTAAAAGTTTAAAATATTAGAGATGCTATACTTTTATTTACATAATTATATCTTCAACACGTTCATTCACATGCAAGCCTAATTTTGTATAACCAATATTAATATCATCATTTATCTTTGCAGACGCATCAGTGCAACTGCGGTGTGGAGCAGGAAATGTAGTATCAAGTACTACAACGAATGGATCAGGAGTGTTTTCCCTCGTGTTGGATCCCCTTCAAAATATTTTGTCATCGATACTATCCAACTGCAGTCTAGTGGTTGCAACTCCACTCTCAACATGTAACGCGAGCTTACCATCTATCGGGCTTTTGCAGTCACCATTGCAGCTTGTTGGGAAAACCCTAGTTGGCCTTCTTAGTGTTGTTAATTTAGGTGCTACTGGTTTTCAGCTTCTTCCTAATCTCATTTGAACGAGCTAACCAAAATGTTACTCGTTAATTTATGGTTAGATAATTTGTTAAGTAAGTGTTCCTTATTTAGTGTTTTGTAGTGATGCATCAGCAAGAGTTAACCTAGTTTGGCCAGCTGCTGAATGCATAATAAGGATTGTTGTTGTTTCCACGTGCTAGTGATGTAATTGTTTGAATGTATTCCTTTCTTGTTGGAGTGTTATGAATATGAAGTTGTCATTAATCAATTGTGATAAAAAAAGTGCAAATAATATTTGCAACTGTAATGTTGGAGCCATCTAATCATATTTGATCGAGTTTTAACTTTGTTTATAGCTTTTTCTTGATTGTTAGTCCCGTAGACATCAAAATTTTAACGGATCAAATCCATACGAAAGTTTGGCTAACTCTTACATTCAAGACTGTACAAGACAACTCATGAAACTTTAGGAGTCTGATCTATTAGGGTTGCTTGGAGGCTACTCTATCAAAATCCTACCTCAGAGGCTACTCTACCCTAACCATAAGTCACTCATATAGAAAGGGTTACATGTTCCCTTAAAAAAGCATCTCAAAAATGGGGATCATCTCGAATATCACATAAATTCACGGGTGTTAGATATGATTTTAATGATGCAAATAATAGTTCTGTTCTATGTGCAGAAACATATGGACAACATTCAAAGATTGAAGGAATCAATCAGAAAAGATCAAGGAATCAATGGGTAGCTACGATATGGAAGCAATCAATCAGGAAATTTAAGGAAAGCAATCTGAGATTAGCAAAGATTAAGAAATCAATGGACAGCTACGAGATGGAAGGAATCAAGGAAAGCAATCCGGGATTAGAGAAATCAATCAAAGCCAAGACGAAATCAATCAAGCCTAGACTTAAGGAATCAAATAAATCGAGCGTATCCAAATCCGGAAGGTACAAGATCTTGGGAAGCATATATGAAAAATCAATCAAGTCTCTCGTAATCATAGTCGTTGCTGTATGACCTTATTCTTAGAAAGAATCAATTTCTCTCCAAGGATCAAATTTCTTAGGTTGGAAAATCTCTCCAGTAACCAAGCCTCTCTCAAAGTATTTAAACTTGTATATGTACCCTAGAGCCACATACTTTGATCGAACTAAATACCCTCTATTTATTCTACTACAAACAAACATTGTAGCTCTACCAGATCTGCTGTGTCACAAGTTAGAGAAGAAAGAGAGAACATCACTGGTGAGGCATTGTATCAAAAGAAACGAGTGAAATAGGAACTAAGCGATCGGTGTAGATCACACCATTCTCTGTATTCTCGAAGAAACTCATTCACTGAAAAAGAACTCCCTTACAACCCAAGGGGACTGGACTAGGATTAACATTGAATCCGAACCACTATAAAAACTCTGGTGTCTTTAATTCCTGCATTTAATTTCTGCATCTTAGTTTCTGTCTTTACTAGTATCAAGTTCTTATATCTAGTCGACTAATCGTAAAACTAGTCAATTGATAGCTATTAAGTTTAAAATAAACAATTCACCCCCCTCCCCCCTTGTACTTTCAATTGGTATCAGAGCGAGGCTCACACTTTTATTTTTGCTTAACAGCTTGTAAGAAAAGATCATGGCAAATCAAGTTATCATAGGAGCACTCTTCCAAGAAGGTACTTCCCAAGTAAGGACACCATACTTCAATAGATAACATTTCTCCCACTAGAAAGTGCGTATGGAAATATATGCAAAGGCGTATGATGTTAAAGTGTGGAGAGTCATCAAAAAGGGGAACTATCCTCTGCTGGTTGCTCAACCTTTTGTTGATCCTGAAGATATAAACTCATATACAGATGAGCAAATGGCAGTTGTGCAAGTCAACAACAAGGTAAGAAATTTTCTCTATAATATTATAAGTGGTGAAGAATATGAAAAAAACCTCCAGGTGTGATACAGCTAAAGAAATATGGGATAAGCTTGAAGTTACATACGAAGGAACCAGCAAAGTGAAGGAAACACATATCAACATGTTGGTTCACGATTATGAACTCTTCTAGATGAAAGAAGGAGAATCCATTGAAGAAATGTTTGTCAGATTCAGTAAAATCATTATTGACCTAAAAGCTTTTGGCAAGCCATACTCAAGTGGTGATCAAGTTAGAAAGATCCTTAGAAGCTTACCAACCACTTAGCAAACTAAAGTAGTCATACTTGAATCACAGGATCTGAATAAATTATCTTCTGATGAACTTCGTGGAGAACTCATAGTTTTCGAAAAGACACATCTCAAGAAAATAAACCAAGAAGAAAAGAAAAAAATAGTTGCATTCAAGGCTACAACTGAGATAGATGAGAATGATATAAATGATGATCCTAATGCTCTTCAAGAAGACTATGATGTCAAGAAACATGGATGGATTAATGAGAAGATTCAGGAATACAAAAAGAGGAAGGATTCCACCTAGGCGAACCATGCAATACAACGAACAAGATAAGAATGATGGAAAATGTTATGAGTGTGGAAGATTTGGACATATTCAAGTCGAGTGTCCAGATATAAAAAGAAAAATCTCCAGAGGTTTCAACAAAAATAAATCATTTGGAAGCTGGAGTGATGAAGACAGTTTAGAACACGACGAAATAACAAATCTCTACTTCATGATAATTCTGGAAAACGATATGAACAAACTTTCAGGATGCTGGACAGACGAGGATACTTCAGATGACGAATGCAAAGATAACAATGAAAACTGCTTCATGGCTCGAGGTGAAACAAGCGAGGTAAGGTCTTATAATTGTGAAAGATGTAATGAATTGCAGAATATTCTTAATCTTACTTTGAAAGAGTCTAAAAAATGATGAATGAACTAAAGAGACTCAATAAAGAAGTAAAATACTGGAAACTTAAAAATGAAGTATGTGAAATCGAAAAAGAAGTACTTCAAGAAGAGTTTGAGGAATTGCAAATGTAACTCAATGGAATGCGCAAATCCACCAGTCATAGTTCTATCAGGTCAAACCAGACGACTTACAAGTCAACTGCAAAAGGACCAGCCAGAACTGAGTATACGAGTACTAACACAACTGAAAGACCCAAAAATGGGTCAGGAATTATGTGTCACTACAGCAATAAAAGTGCATATAAATACTTTTTTGGCATTTTCGTAAGTCAAATAATTCAAGATGGAGTTAGAAACCCAAAAATGATCCTGAATCTAGTAACACTAACCAACCAGGACCCAAGCAAGCTTGAGTACTAAAAAGAAAGTAGTCACTATGTTTTGCAGGAACACCGAAGAAATCACAAAAGAAAATGGTACTTAGACAGTGCGTGTTCCAGTCACATGACAGGTGATAAAAACCTCTTCAAAGAAGTTACAAAAATAGACGGAGGAAGCGTTAAGTTTGGCGATGACTCAAAAGGGAAAATAATCGGTACCGGGACAATCCCCTTCAATAGCAACAGTGATATCACTGAGGTTTATCTAGTTGATGGGCTTAATTACAACCTTCTGAGCATAAGTCAACTATGCGACTCAGGATATGAGGTAAAGTTTAAGAAAACATGCTGTGCTATTGAAAATGAGACAGGTAAAACAATCCTCCCAGGTAAAAGGTATGGAAACGTTTACATTCTTGATGGTTTTGAAAATATTGATGGTCATATCTGTTTAACTTCCATATCTGATGATCCTTGGTTATGGCATAGAAAACTTGGTCATGCAAGCATGCATCTGATAGAAAAACTTTCCAAGCATGAGTTAGTTATTGGCTTACCTAAATTGAATTTCTCTAGAAATCATATATGTGATGCTTATCAAATTGGAAAACAAACTAGAAACTCTTTTAAAAACAAGGATATTGTGTCTACTTCTAAACCTTTGCAATTGCTTCATATGGATTTATTTGGGCATACTAGAACTGCTAGCATAGGAGGAAAATGATATGCTTTTGTTATTGTTGATGATTATTTGCGTTTCACTTGGGTAATTTTGTTATCTCATAAAGATGAAGCGTTAAGAAACTTTGAGGTTTTCTGTAAGAAGGTCGAAAGAGAAAAAGGATATCTGATTACAACAATCCAAAGTGATCATAGAGGAGAATTTGAAAGCAGAGCATTCGAAGACTTCTGTAATGATCAAGGATATACTCATAATTTCTCTGCACCAAGATCACCTCAACAGAATGGAGTTGTGGAACGAAAAAATAGAACATTACAAGATATGGCAAGAATGATGCTACTAGATCATTCCCTACCAAACCATTTCTAGGCAGAAAGAATAAGTACAACATGTCACATTCTCAACCGATGTCTCATAAGGCCAATTCTGAAGAAAACTCCTTATGAGTTGTGGAAAGGTAAACGTCCTAATATTAGTTACTTTCATCCCTTTGGAATTAAGTGTTTCATTCACAATAATGGTAAGGACAATCTTGGAAAATTTGATCCAAGAAGTGATGAAGGTATTTTTCTGGGTTATTTATTAAATAGTAGATCCTTTAGAGTCTACAACAAACGCACGATGTGTGTGGAAGAATCTGTGCATATTGTATTTGATAAAAATAACTCCTTGGTCTAGAAAGGAATTATTGCAGGTGATAAAGATCAAATTCAAGAAAATCGGGAGACAAGCAAATTGCAAAAGTCGGCTGATGCATCTGACGCTGTGATAGAGTCAACTAATGAAACCAGCAACAATCCACCAGAACCACCGAAGGATTCGACTACTCATACAGCTCGCCCAAATGAATGGAGAAGCGAACATGAATCTCCTCAAAAATTCATCATAGGAGATCCAAATGAAGGAATGAAAACCATGGGAGCTCTCAAGAAAAAAGCAAACATAGCACTGATCTCTCAGATTTAGCCAAAGAAAATAGAGGAAGCTCTTAAAGACTCAATCTAGATGCAAGCAATGTAGGAAGAGTTAGATCAATTCGATAAAAATCAAGTATGGAAATTGATACCCAAATCTGAGAACGTTCCTGTGATAGGAACAAAGTGGGTCTTCAGAAATAAGCTCAATGAGGATGGAAAAGTTGTAAGAAACAAAGACAGATTAGTTTCTCAAGGATATTCACAACAAGAAAGAGTCGACTATGATGAAACCTTTGCCCCAATAGCTCGACTGGAATCTATACGAATTCTTTTGGCATATGCATCCTTTAAAGGATTCAAGTTATTTCAGATGGATGTTAAAAGTGCCTTTTTAAATGCTTTCATTGAAGAGGAAGTATATGTGAAGCAACCCCCTGGGTTTGTAGACTCAAAGTTTCCATAT